GGGGGGGGGAAGAAACTCGAGCAGAGCGACCCGGGTCCTCCTGAGGAGGAGGTGAGCGAGGGCTTGTCGGCTCGAGCATCAGCACGGCTTACTCGACGTCGTCGTTTTGGGCCTGACTGCGCCCGGCGGTGACCTTGATCCCGGGCGCCGCCGCCGCCGCCGGGCGCCTCGGGGGTGAGAGTCGTCGTTGTTGGTGCTGTGGACCTGCACGCGCTGCTTGTGGAGGCGACCGCGGCGAGCTCGAACTACCTCACGAGATATTTAGATTTACACCTGAACGCGTTCCCTTGTAAGGAAGCAAAATATATCGATCTTGGGGGCAAAATCGGACAATTCCACCCAAGGACCATTAAGTAGATTGATTCCACCTATCTTATACAGCTGCGTGGCGGACTTGTACGTCAGGAAGTACGTCGTCTCGGATGGGGCGTGAGCCTGGAGCGCTACTGACTGGTTGTAGAGTTGGAGGCATGAAGGAGTAGTGATGGGGGATGCGGGGGCTCTCGGTCAGGGGGTGTGTGAGCAGAGAGATCGGGGAGGAGCGAGGGGAGGGGTGGAGGGTGTGTTGAGCCCTCGACAAGAGCAAGAGCCCCATATGTCATGCCCAACATTATTATTTCCAAATAAAGGGCTCGTCTCTGGTCTCCCCCGTCCAAGGCCCCGGCGGCCCGGCCTCCGAGAGGCACGGGACCCCGTCAGCCCCCGCGCGTCAGTCAGCAGAGCCATACGCCGCCGCCGCCGTATGCGTGTGTGTGTAGTAAGTATGAGGGAGAGAAAAAAAGGCAAGGTAAACTCACTCGCCTGCGGGAGCTATTTGAAAAGAACGGCCGGTACATCATGCACTCACACACTCTCCCACACTCACTTACACTCACACACGTCCACGTGTGGCACACACAGGTTCTCCAGGAAGTCGAACTGAAAGAAGATCAGGCCTCCTCTGTGTGTGTGTATGTGTGTGTGTGTTTTATTATCTGTTCCCGAATCGGACGGGAGCATACACGGAGCGGCCAGAGAGCGCGAGGGGGCTCTTGTTTCGTGCGCCCCCATCCCAACCACCCCTCCGGGCGGGGCGGGGCGTGCCATTGTCTGAGCGGGACGGCAAAAAGGCGTAAGTCCTTATTCATTCAGTCTCGAGTCGCCTGCATCCCCCCCGAGTGAAAGAGCCATGTACGGCGGAGCAAGGGGACCGAATAGCCGGAGAGCAAAGGAGGAGACCGGAGGTGGGCGTTGACGAGGCTGCGATGAGGCTCTCGCATACAAAAGCACCGCGATGACCGAAGACGACGGCGACGGGGGTAATGACTGTCAACCTGAGGAGCCGAGGCGGAGCTTCTGGCTGCTCGCAGAGCACCGCCCTCCACATCCTGCTGCCGAGGCTGACGGCAAGGGTCGCGGCCGCGGCGGGGCAGGGCCACGGGGGCGCAGCCGTTGGTTGGATTATGCATGCATGAGGCTGTCAGCGATGGGGCTGAAGCAGCCTCGGGCTGAGCCGATTTGGAGCGTTTTTGTCGCGAACGACTCTTCTTGCTTGTCTTCAAACGAGCTTCCTTTGATTTCTAGTTTAATCACTGGCAAAAATACTGCTTCCGCCAGGCTTCTCAATGAGAGCCCCATTTTATTCACACTTTGCAACTGTAAAGTTCCAGCCCGTTCTTTTTAAACAATCTCCAAGACTGTCTCTACTGGTAAAGTTCTCTCCCTTCTCGCTCTTTGTTTCCTAGATATTTCTTTTCGTAGTTTAAGAGAGCGTGCCAAAATAATGTATGTTTTCAAAATCATTACTGTCGAATATCACAACTACGAAATTGTTTTATTATACATTTTTACATTGGTTATAATACCATACAAAGCTATGGAAAAATTGACAGTAATAACAGGGAAGTCCCGCAAAAACACTGATGCCTGACTGTACCTGAAGTGCGGCAAAAATACCCAAAGATGAAAACACTACAAATCCAGTCATGCCATCTAGAGTGAAAATAGCACACAATAAAAAATGTCAGTCAGAGCGATAAGTCGAACAACTACTCACGGCAATAATAATGAGATATTATCTCCTACGGTTGGTTATAGTAGTGATAGCGTTTGACGAAATAGTCAATAAACACATTGAATTCAGGAAATTTTTCGCACCTATGATTTAACATTGGCGTGTGACCACATAGTGGTCATGCTCGCGATGTAATCGTCCCGCCTTAACTTAAACTAGCTCTTTACAGATCACAAGGACGAGTCATATAGGAAAAAAAAGATGCAGGTGCAAGATCCGACCGATACATAGAACTCCACCCCAGAAAGAAACACCAAACACCCCCACTCCGTCTGAAGGACAAAAAACATAGCTTTTCCTCCCCCTCCTCACCCGCTCCGTTCCCCACCCCCTAGGAGCTCCCTTTAGAGCCGATCGGCGCTACTGAAGACTTCTCAAAGTGACGTTAATGTGACTACAATGTTTTCGCCATTATATTGTATCTCGGAAGGAAAGATTGGTGCCATGAAATCGGAGTCAATAACGGCTTCATTTTGACATCCCCATGCATGGCGCGATCTGTACGACTACACCTCACTTATTGACCTTAGTTTTCCAAAACCGATCTAGTTCGTCGATTTGGAATATTTCAGTCCTTTGTCCTGTCATTATAGAAAAATCGTCGGAATGGCGCTGATAATCCTCAGAACCCCAAGCCTTTGTCGCTTCAGCCGCACGAGTACCGGCCACTCATGGAACTGCTGGAGCGAGACACGGACAACTGGCTGGGAGAGCGCTTCACGGACTGGATCTTCTTGAGGAGGATCTGGAATGGCGTCAAACAGCGGGTGAGCACCGCGACGAAGAGGTCACGTCCACGACGAGGACGTCCCCGCCGCCGGCCTTACCTGGTTCTCGCGCTCGATGTCCCTGCCCCGGCGCACCCTGTTGACGGCGTGGCTGCAGTGGTGGGTGGACGGCGGCGCCAGGAAGGGGGCGGCGCCGACGGCCGAGGGCCTCGGGGGCGGCGTCGGCGCCGTCCTGGTCGGGGGCGGCCGCGCGCGCTGGCCCACGATGCGGCGCAGCAGGCGCTCGTTGTCGCGCTGGATGCGGCGGGCCTCGTCGTTGGAGAAGGACATGTTGAGGCGGCGGGACCGGCCCCCGCGGCCGCGGCCCGGGCCCGGCGGCGGCGCCCGCAGCGGCACCGGCAGCGAGCTCGCCGAGCTGCATCACGAGGGTCATGGATGAGGTGTGGCCCTCCGCTGCCGCGCTCCAAGCGCCCTCCTCGGCCGCAGCAAGCAGCAAGCCGACTCTCGACAATTGGGATAGACTGTCCCGGCGGGCGGGCGAGCCGGGTGGGCTGCCTACTCGCCGGGTGGCCTCGCCTGCTCACCCGATGGGACGCGCCCGGTGCAGCGCCTTGGTGATGGCCTCGATCGCGTCTTCGGCGTCCGTGTCGTCCGAGTCCTCGTCGCCGACGGCCACGCTCGACACCGCGGTGATGGAGGACACGGCCCTCGTCTTCCTGTTGCACACGGTGAGCGTCAGCTCCTGGATGGCCACGCACTCGTCGTCGTCGTCCTCACCCTCTGGCAGGTACACGATATGGACAAATACAACAATAGTTATTATTCATTTTCTTTTCAATGCGAGAGAAAAGGGTTCGTAGAGAGGTGATGCACAAGTACCGCCATCGCTGATCGCCGCGCCCGCGCTGTCCTCGGAGGCCTCCGATGACGACGACGACGCCGGGGCGCTCACCACCAGCGCGGGCAGTTCGCGCGTGGGCGCAGATGGGGTGCTTGCAAGCGGCGCAACCTGCGAAACCTGCTGCGCCTTCTCACGGGGGACGTCATCGGCCTCCCCCGGGAGGCCATCTAGACCATCTGGAGCAGCGGAGCCATCTGCAGGTGGCCGTTCAGAGGCGCCCGGTCCGCTCGGCTCATCCGCAGCCTGGGGACATGCGCACAACAGACCCGTGCCAACTGCAGTTCAGTAAACTCATCGATTTGGATCTGGGATTCGTTAAGTTAGTCGACGCCGATGCTTTTAAAAGGACTAATTAAAACATGTAACGTTCCCGTACCTCTGACTCTGTGGCGTCTGTCCTGGTGGGGGCGCTGGTGTCGCTGTTCACGGCCCGAGCCGCCGTCATTTGATCGATTGCCTCCGTCGGGGCCGCCGCTGGGCGCTGCGCGGCCACCACCACGTCTTCCAGGACGTCGTCGTCGCCGTCCCCGCCGTGTCCGGGAGGATCGATATCGCCCAGCTGCCGATACGACCACGGCCGTGTGTATTTTTATCCCTGACATTATATTTTCGTCGAGGCCGCGTGGTGGTCGCTTGGTCGCGGGGTACCGTACCTGGTCCTGGTGACGCTCAAGATTCGCCTCGTCATCGCCGTCCTCGGTGCGGGCCGTGTCCAAGGGTTGCGGCAGGGATGACGACGAGGACACCAGGCTATCGCCGCCGCCACCGCTACCGCTGCTGCAGGTCGGCGTCGGGCCGGCCGTGAGCCTCGGGGACGGCAGGTTCCCGTCGTCATCACGGTGTTTCGGCCCGGCGCCGGGGGGCGTCCGCGGGGCGCCGCCCCCGCCGGCGTCGTCCTCCCCACGCCAAGGCGACGTCGACGACGGCGCGCGCGAGTCGTCGAAGAAGTCAAAGTCGATGTCGCGGTCGAAGTCCGCCCGGAGTGTGAACAGGCCGTACGCCCTGGAGCTCTCCATGGAGCTGGCCAGGTCGGCGGCCATGCCGGAGGGCGGCAGGTGTTGCGACAGGTAGCGTCGCGGCTGCACGCCCCAGCCCGCGCATCACCGCCGACATGTACTACGCCGTGACGAGGCCCGCGCGCCTGCCCCCGCGACACCCCGCTCGGCACTGTGCGCACTGTGTCACTTAGGCCCCACAGCCCGCCACTGTCGCGGTGGCGGCACGGGCGGGACGTGGTACGGTTGTTTGCGGTGGCCGCGGGGCCGGGTTCCCATGGCAACAGAACAGCCAGGCACTACTTTAAAGTTCTCCAGCTTCCCGCCAAAATGCCGTCCGGCGCGCCCCGTCTTGCAGCGGTGCGTAAAGCCATACGACGAACCTCAGGAGAAAACTGTAACTTTATAAAGAACAAAACTGCCACCAGTAGATTTTAAACTGGTACTAGTTTGAAAGTTTGGCGGGATTTAGGCTGGTGGTGCACGTCAAGGGCAATTTTTCATATTCAGCGCAGGGTGGCTTCTTACGTCAGAATACGATTCGTATACCATTGTAACGGAAGAGAGGCTAAAAGTCTAATTTGCTATGACTATGAGAACTCCAACAGTCAAATTTATTCTTTGTAATTTTTGGTTATTGAAAATTTCATGAAGTGGGGGGTCTTATTTTGTAAAACTGTGTTCACCGATGAAAGTATAAACATCAGTTATCTCTGTTCACGTGTGGACCAAGGTCATGTTAACAAAATGATGTTCTATTTCGTAGATTTCTCATACGTCTGGCGCTGGCGCTGGTGGTGGGGGAAGCTGGAGCGGAGTTGGGAGTTGGAGCTGGAGCTCAGCGTAGCCTAGGCGTTTGTTTGGAGCCGCGCAGTTATTCCGGTTGCTCAAAGATTTCGTTACTTTTAGGACTTTTCCAGGTTTAAATACACGTACAGCTAAAATGTCCGACGTTGACGACGACTTCATGTGTGACGAGGAGGAGGATTATGGTTTGGTAAGATCGTAATACAACCGTAACACATACCGACAAACAAGCCGTAGCAGTACATGTCATCTAACCTGTCAATGGACCAGAAATATGTTTTCCAGATTAAGAATGTATCCCCACATTTTGTGTCAATTTGTTTTATTCCAATTGGTTGCACATTTTTTAATGAATTTTTTAAATTTTTCGAATGGTTTGATCCAAAATAACGTGACATGCACGTTTGTTACTATTGAACATCCATTAGAATGTTTGAAGTTTAATTCTATGTTGTCATGATTATTTTAATATATGCCTGATGTAATTTGATCTTAATAAATTTTCCATGTCATACAGAGATTTAGGTACACTGTATTGTACAGTATATGTTCTCGAATGTCATGAGTTGTATGCTCATTTTTAACACTGTTCTACCTTTTCGTAGGAATACTCTGAGGACAGCAATTCAGAGCCAGATGTTGATTTGGAAAATCAATATTATAACTCCAAAGCGCTAAAGGAAGATGATCCTGCAGCAGCTTTAGCGTCGTTCCAGAAAGTTCTTGAGCTAGAATTGGGAGAGAAAGGAGAATGGGGATTTAAAGCTTTAAAGCAAATGATTAAAATTAACTTCAAAGTTGTAAGTTTCTTTGAATTTTTTATGAGAATCTTATCACCTGTTAATAGTGTCTTTTATGTAATTGTACTTCTTTTTCTTAGGGTAATTTTACAGAGATGATGACACGATACAAGCAATTACTGACCTATATCAAGACTGCAGTGACTAGGAATCATAGCGAGAAATCTATAAATTCCATTTTGGACTACATCTCTACATCTAAAAATGTAAGGCTGTTGGCTATTTTGACAATGTTTTGTTAGCTTAAAGTAATTTGTTGTGTTTGACCATGAACTACTGTTTATAGATGGAATTACTCCAAGATTTTTATGAAACTACTCTTGATGCCTTGAAAGATGCTAAAAATGATCGTTTATGGTTTAAAACAAATACAAAACTTGGCAAACTGTATTATGATCGGAATGACTTCAATAGATTGGCTAAAATTTTGAAGCAGCTCCATCAGTCATGTCAGGTAAGTGTAATTCCCATGAAAAAAAATCTGGCAAGAAGCTGCAGCATTACTACAATCTGTTTCATGTTTATGTTTAGACTGATGATGGGGAAGATGATCTGAAGAAAGGAACACAGCTTCTGGAAATATATGCTCTAGAAATTCAAATGTACACTGCTCAGAAAAATAACAAGAAACTAAAAACCCTTTACGAGCAGTCACTTCACATAAAAAGTGCTATACCGCATCCTCTGATTATGGGTGTCATTAGAGGTACTGTAGTATTTTACTGGGTTGTTACAGACAAGGCAGTCAGAAATTGGAAATTATGTCAGAGCAAGTCAGTAAAGTTGTGGCCCTAGTCAGTAAAATTTATCACTGACTGATTCTTTCCAAATAATTGTGTTATTGAGTGCAAACAAATTTTGTGCTTCCCTCCTTGCCCTAAAAGCCATTAAAATTTGGGATTTTGCTCAAGAAAAAGTGAGGGAAAAGTCGGTAAAATTAGAAGTCCCAACCTTGTAACAACCCATTTTTTTTCATCATCTAGTACTTTGTTTTATTTCTTTTCTAAACACTTTTCTTGTAATAACAGAATGTGGTGGCAAAATGCATTTGCGTGAAGGAGAATTTGAGAATGCACATACTGACTTCTTTGAAGCATTCAAAAACTATGATGAATCAGGCAGTCCAAGAAGAACAACTTGTTTGAAATATTTAGTATTGGCAAATATGTAAGTTGCTTTTATTTTTTCCTATGACAAATGATATTTTTATGTACCCGCTGTACCAAGTAGCAAGTACTTAAATTTAATTATATTGTTTGCTTTCTCTGAACAGGTTAATGAAATCTGGTATCAATCCATTTGATTCTCAAGAAGCCAAACCATACAAAAATGATCCAGAAATTCTTGCTATGACAAATTTAGTTTCATCCTACCAAAATAATGATATAAATGAATTTGAATCTATTCTTAAAGAACACAGAAAAAATATTATGGATGATCCTTTCATCAGAGAGCATATTGAAGGTATGATTCGTTATACTACTATATGTGCATGTGCAATCTTATTTTTTATCTCTGTATACTACAATTTCCTTTGTGTAAATTTTTTGCTTTCAGATTTACTTCGTAATATACGTACTCAAGTTTTGATGAAGCTTATTAAACCCTACACTCGAATCCACATCCCATTTATTAGTAAAGAACTTAACATTGATGTCACAGATGTGGAGTGTCTTCTGGTGTCCTGTATCCTAGACAAGTATGTATTCAGGGTCGGCTTCCATTATATACGTACATTAGTTCTTCAAAATCTAATGTTTCCTCTTCTTTTTTTTTCAGTACAATTCAAGGTCGTATTGACCAGGTGAATCAAGTATTAGAATTAAGTCAAGAATCAACATGTGGAGCTCGTTACCAAGCATTGGACAAGTGGACCAAGCAGCTGGGAGGCCTTCATCGAGCTATTGTTAGCAAGATGGCCTAACATGAGGACTCATTGTTGCACTGAATGCAGCAAAAGTTTGTGAGTTAAGAGACCCCACCCAGTAATGTGTGCGAATTGTGATTTCATCTCTATACCTCTTCCTTACAATTTTACAATAACCAGCAAGGCAAGAGGCTGGAAAGAAGTACAATCAATTAAATAGGCCACCCCTTGAGCAGACCAGTAAAACATCCAAATTCCTTTTAATTTTTGTCTTAAAGATAACCTATTGATAAACCTCTGTAAGGGTCTTTTTGGAGATTGTTTTTTGAATCATAACACCACCCTAATAGTCTCTGTTTTTAGACAGGTTGTGCGTTGTGTATTTAAGTCTTTATGTAAATCATAATTTTCATTAGGTCTTAGTTGCCCTGTTTTAATAAATAGGCTGAAATGACATTTAAAAATCATTTTAACCAAAAAGCTCTTCTGAAACATCAGAGAAATAAGATGTGCAGTACACAGAACAGACCTGTGTTGACCAGTGAAGCAGGAAAATTTATCATCAACATTCAAATATTTTGCAGTGCCCATCAATGGTCAGGTTGTAAAAGTAACTTCCAACGGAATGAAGTAAAAATAATACATAGATATGTGCAAAACCAGCAACTCCAAAGCAAAGTTGTGTAATTTAAACTGTTTCCACAAATTCTAGTTGACTTTAGTTTTCTGCTAACTTACACTGGATCAAATAATCGAGAAAATGCTCACAAGACAATTTGGAAGAGGGAGACTTGCTTTGACTTTTTAGTAATTGCACTTATTTAATTGTAATGACCTGCGTTATCCAATCAGTAAAATATCTCATCATGACCAACCAGTCTTCTCAATAAGAAAGATCACAGAAGTTAAGCAAAGCTGCCACTGTTCCTTCGAACAGCACAGAAAAAATGACAGACAAGTGGCAACTTTTACGGGCAGCCCCTCATGGTTGTTCTTCTAGTTACACTCAGAACATATGCACATTCCTCAGGTATATTTTGTAGGTATGCAACAAGAATCCTCAACTATCCGTCCTACTCTCATTTAAGAGATTTCAGGGATGTCACATATTAAAAGAATTAAATGTGGAAATGCTGGCCCAAAGAAATTTTCTGGAGGACATTGTTTTGTTTGATTGACTTCCAATGATCTCTATCTATAAATAATTTATACTTCTGAGGGGAGTGGGGAAGGGGGGGTTCGCCTCCCCCCCTTCCCCTAAACCATGCCAGCGGCGAGCTCGCTGCAGTCGCGGTAGACGCGTTGGGGTCTCGGCTGACAAGGCATTGACGCATTGATGAGCGTCTAGGGCCTTGATACAATAGACTTCTAACACCAATCAGCGCTCCCACACCGGCACGGGCGGGTCGCGGTCGTCCCATCACTCGCCTCGTTCGTGACAACGTCACAAATACCGACCTGCTCGACATGCCTCTCCTTGATTACCGAATGCAGTGGTCAGGGTCGCAAGGCGCAAGCCCATGGAGCACGGTCGGTCTGTTGCGCTCGAGTGCAGGTAGTCGCACACCAGTGCGTTGCCTGAACGCGACAGGCACAGAGGGCCCGCTCTGTGCTTGATTTACAGTCGCCCTGCACACGCACCGACACCGCCCAGGACATGTCGCGACTCCTCGGACCCTTGGCGGACGTGTTGGGTCGCTGGGGGGCGGGGTTCTGGTCGTATGCTGGTCAGTATTAATATTAGAAAAGAACGAGTGTTGTTGCACACGACGGGTGTCTTGCCAACCACCAGTACCTGGTCCGGGTGGTAGCCGCGGTCGCCGTGGCCTCCGCAGGGGACTCGGTCACGGTGGTCGCCGTGGTCTCCGTATGGTACTCGGTCACCGTGGTCACGGCATGGTCTCCGCATGGTACCCGGCAGGGTGGTCACGGCCTCACGGCATGGTGCCAGGCCACGGTGGTCGCCGTGGCCTCCGCAAAGGACTCGGCCACGGTGGTCACGGCATGGTACCGGGCCACGGTGGTCACGGCATGGCACCGGGCCACGGTGTTTGTTGTGGTCACCGCGGTACCCGGTTTAACAGGGGTAGGAAGAACCCGGTTCGACGGGTAGAGTAGAACTGGGCCTCCCGGGTTTTCGCTGGAACCGGCTTGTATTGTCTCTCACAGGCGGGTGTAACCATAGACATAATGTACGTGTGCAACCGGTTCCTGTGGGTGTTGCGCGGGGTACCCGCGACTGTTCAATCAGTTTTACCCCTCGGCCCGTTCGTACCCTGGGGGCGGACGGGTACCCGAGGCCCACGATGCTCACTCCCGGCTCGGCGCAGACCCCCGGACCGAGCACCTGCCGATGTCGAGGAGCCCCCTACCCGTGTTGGCCATCGTCGGCGCCTACCTGTACTTCTCGCTGTCGTACGGCCCACGCTTTATGAAGAACCGACAGCCCTTCAAGCTGGAGAGGGTCATGCTGGTCTACAACGCGGTGCAGGTCGTCTGGTGCGCCTACCTCGTCGAGGAGGTGAGTCCTCGCAAAGGTAGAAGAATAGTGAGTGAAACAAATAAAAAACGTCCCCGCCGGCTGGATGCTTTCGACCATTCGGGAACGTTTAACGTCCTTCCCGCTTCTCTCTCTCTCAACTTGACCCTTTGTTTCCGTGCAGTGCCTACGGCTGGCCTGGGGAGGGACGTATAACTGGATCTGTGAGCCTATCAACAGAGCCAAGACGCCGGAGAGCCTTCAGGTAAACCTCTAAAACAACAAACGAAACATTGATCTTGAGCTAACAGACGTGAGCATTTTGAAATTGCATGCGCAAAACAACGCAAATACCAGCAAATACACACATTGGGAGTGAAAAAAAAGGCCTGTATGTTTTCACATGTCTTTTCGTTTCGAGTGAAAATTGTCTTTTTTGACAATGTTGAGGAATAGTTTCCTCTTTAATCGACCACCCCGTCTTTTCTATATGGAGTGGAGCTCAAATAATCAGCTCTGTTTGTGTCCCAGTTTGCCCAAGCCTGCTACCTCTTCCTCCTCCTCAAGATCGTGGACCTGCTGGATACGGTGAGGCTGACTGCTATAGCGTGAGCGTGACGGCGTACTGCTCTGCTCTGCCGGAGACAGACGTCCGGATGGTCCGGTGGGGTTCGTTGGCACATTCTTTTTCCCAAACGCACAATTTATCTCACCACACACACACACACAGGTATTCATGGTTCTGCGGAAGAACGCCCGACAAGTGTCGTTCCTCCACGTGTACCACCACTCGCTCATGGTCATCACGGCGTGGGCGTGCGTCAAAACTGCACCAGGTGAGAGAATGTCTGGCTGGGCCCGGGTGGAAGGATCTACACTTTAGACTACATCAGTTTTCTAAGTTTTTTCACAACTTATAATGCAGATAGAGTGCATGCGGGGCTAAGTCAGAAGTAGGGTTTCAAGTGTGTCTATATGGTAGTTTCAGTGTTCTGAAACTCCAGTTAAAGTACAGAAAAATGTGCTTAAACTACA